CTAACTCTCTATCTCTCTCCCTTCCTCTCTGTAAAAAATCAATAAAATATATTTTTTTTAAAAAAACAACTCTTTAGGAATGTGTATGTCATTGAGATCTGTGACCGGGCTCTCTTCGATAAGTTTCCCGAACACTTTAATGAAATGTGAATGCACAGCTTCCTTAAGTAGATCGTGACGAACCCATGAGTGGGCTGGAGACAAGTATAGGATTTTTGCTCCAAAGAGGACAAAAATGGAGCAGTGATTAAAGGGAGTAGTGGAGTCAAGCAAGACAATTTTTGAAAGATGGGAGAAAAAGCATGTTCCCCGATAGGGATTATCTAGGGAACCCTTACAGAAAGGATGTAATAGTGACCCGTGAGTGTCCTTGAAATGTTGGATGACAGTAGAGGCAGGCGGTGGGGAGTTAAAGTGCAAGTCATCTCCTGAGGGCAGCCGCAGTCTGCACCCCAAAACACTGCGGTTGTGGTTGTGGTTGCCGTGGGCGATTAAGATTCCCCTCACAATTAATCATAATCCATTTGCTCAGGAGCCTCAGCGTACTACGCGCTGCTTCCTCGTTCGTTACGACTTCTGTAGCTGTATGGATGGATGTAAGACCAAGCAGACATGCTTGCATTTTATCTACATTGGAGGTCAGTATACATCACCATAGTGGGTGCTATGTATGTATACACATTATAGTAGTACGTGTGACTATATGATATATATATTATATATACACTAGAGGCCCAGCGTGCACGAAATCGTGCACGAGTAGCTTGCCTCTGCTTGCCTCAGCTGGCCACCCTGCCCATCGCCGCCCATAGCTCTCCACCGCTAGTAGCTCACACCTCCCCGTGCCCTGCCCCACCCGCTGCGAGAGCCGCTGCTCGTTTGGTCGTTAAGGCCACAGGCCTTTTATAATATAGATAATGCATATGTATGAAGTATAGATACATAATGTGCATATGCATTGTATCGTGATGTTTGTTTGTTTGTTTTTTTGGTTAATCCTCGCCTGAGGGTATTTTCCCATTGATTTTTAGAGAGAGAGTGGAAGGGAATGGGAGAGAGATATAGAGAGAAACATCAATGTGAGAGAGAGACATTGATTGGTTGCCTCCCGCATCGGCCCAAACTGGGCCGGGGACCTGGAGACTGAGTCTGCAACTGAGGTACATGCCCTTGACCAGAATCAAACCCGGGATTTTTCAGTCCTCGGGCCGACACTCTATCCACTGAGCCAAACTGGCTAGGGCTGGTCTGTCTCTTAATCCAGTTCTGGTCAACTCCAGAAAGTGCTCTCCAATCAGTTCTCCCCTGTTATTCGTCCTAGGGCTCCAGTTTAAGTTCTCATTGCTTCTGACTTGGATTATTATAATACCCGTCTTGAGCACATGTGTTTTCCCATCTGTCATACATTCTACCAGAATAATCTTTCTAAAAGTATTAGTTTATAATTCAATTTTTCCACCAGACTGTGTGTTCTTGCTTACTTAGTACATGACAGATGTTTAAAAATATTTGTTCAAATGGGGAACATCTGTAATAATGTCAACAATTTAAAAAAAATGTTTGGTCGGAAAAAAGCAACCAAGTGAGTTGCTCAGTTTAAAAGGAATAAAAAAGGTAAAAAAAAAAATGTTTGGTCACTGAAGAATGGAAAAATTAATTAATATTAAATAGTTAATATATGATGTTGAAATGTTGGCAGACATTTTCCCTATCCCCTTCATCCACCCCACAAACAACTTTTTCTTTGTGTCAGAATAAAACCATTGTCTTGGCTTTGTCTAACTCTCAGCACTTTCAGAATTATAACCTAGATATGGGAGGGCATGGCCCATTTAACTCCCCAAACTGTGTTACTTAGCTCGACGGTGCTGTCTCTAAATATAAGCCCTAGTGCAATCCAAGAATTTATTTGGCTGCCAGTGATCCTCTCAAATACCAATAACTGGGTATAGATTTCTGAGGCTATCTATGAACCATCAAGAACCATAATATTTTTGCCCAGCTGGTGTGGCTCAGTGGTTGAGCATCAACCTATGAACCAGGAGGTCAAGGTTGGATTCCCGGTCAGGGCACATGCCCGGGTTGCAGGCTCGATCTCCAGTAGGGGGCGTGCAGGAGGCAGCTGATCAATGCTTCTCTCTCATCATTGATGTTTCTCTCTCTCTCCTTCTCCCTCTCCCTTCCTCTCTGAAATCAATATATAGAACCACAATATTCTTGTTATCCAGGTACATACTCATCACTGAAAACCAAAACAATGCCTCATGAAATACCACGGGAGAGGAAGTAGGTTTTCAGTAAACTTGAAAACCACATGCATATGGCAGAAATGACTACTTTCACGGGCTAATCTAGGCACTTTCAAAAGAGGGCCGTTAAAAATCAAAGGTCCCGATAAGAGAGCATTTCTGTTTTCCATCTCAGTTTCACCAAGCAGTCTCACCAGAACCAGAGGCAGATTGGAGATTAACATCAGATGCTCTTCAGGTAACATTACTCTGTCCATCATTCAGTTCCGAGTCAAATCAGCATATCACAGGCTCCTAAACTTGTGCAACCTTTTGACGTGCACCCAGGCAGGTACAACTCGGCTCCCTGCAGTCGTGGGAGAAACCTTTAGACATTGAACATGTGTCATGTTCATAGGAAAGTTGCAGGGGAAGTTCCTGCTTGGCTCATGTCATAATATATTCATTTGTTTTGCCCAAACAAGTTGATTTAATTTGGGATTTACCAATTTTCCCTGGCCAAACATGTTGATCAAACCTGATCTGGGCCAAGCAGAAATAGGCCATGCAGTTTGTCAGGAACAGAGACAGAAATAAAACTTGTTTGAAGTCAGGTAGCTTGACTAATCACATCAGGAATTTGCTCTGCACTGGTACACACCCTTCCTCAGAACTTTTAGGTACTCAGACTTAAAATTAAGTAAAGAAAGGCAACACTTTCCATTACAGATAGTTTAATCAGCTCATTGGAAAACATCTAACAAGAGTTAGATATATATCTGAAGCAAGTCTCTATGTATTTATCAAGTGTCTCTTATGGACAAGGCACTGAAGAGAAAAAAAAAGGGGGGGTGGGTGGAACGAAAGAAAAAGATGAAATATCTCCTCCAGAGTGAAGAGTGGGGGGTGTGTGTGGTCGTCTTTCCACGGATCCCTGTTTCAAGGAGTCCAAGTCAGACTGAGCTTCCAAATGTCAGCATCCTTCAAAGTCCCGTTCGCTGAAAACATTCACTATATTTGATAATCAAGTTTGTCTAGAAAGGCCTAGAAGATGTAGGTGGACAGGCTCCTGTAAGAAGGCAGCCAGGACAGGCTGCTGCGAGCCATCGATCTCCCCAAGTCAGAAGTGATAGGGAAGCAAGGATCAGAGGACCCATCCTGAAGCTGTGAGAAACCCAGGTATAGCTGGGAGGATTCATACTGTGTGGGAAGGACTGGACCCACCCGAGGGGATGGCCAGCGGGGCCTCAGCCTGGGGCCAAGACCAGAGCTTTTATTTTTTAAGCCTCACCCGAGGATATGTTTCCATTGATTTTTAGAGAGAGTGGAAGAGAGAGGGAAAGAGAAACATCGCTGCGAGAGAAATGCATTGATTGGTTGCCTCCTGCAGGAGCCCTGACGAGGGCCCAGGCCGGGGAAGAGCCTGCAACCGAGGTAGGTGCCCTTGACCAGAATCGAACCTGGGACCCTTTGGTCCTCAG